GTGTGTGGCTTTATACTGTACAGGGGGGCGGGTGAAGCGGAAGCAGTTTGAGGCGGTGCTGGAAGGCGGGCGAGGTTGCGTCTGGAGTGCTGCGGGGGCGTGTGCGGTGGGGGGATGGGGGATGATGCGCGGCGGGCGGTGGATGCGCGGGCGAGTGTCAAGCGAAGCGCGGGTGCGGGGGGCGCGGCAGATCTGGGTGCGGGCGGCGCGAATCGGGGGGCGGTGACGCGAGGCGAGCGCAGGGCGATGGATGCAAGGCGCGCCCGCGGATGGCGGGGCGCGCGGCACGGCGCGGAGAGCGGAGCGCAGCGCGCGTGCTTCGGTTTTCGTTCCGTTTCTCGTGGCGCGCCCGGATTGGGCGCGGCCTGCGGAAATATCGGCGGCGCGCGGAGATTCGGGCGCGGGCGCGCGGCGCGCCGCCGCTTCGCGTCGACAGCCGCCCCAACGGTGAATCAAATGTATGATATGGAGGCGCATCCATTTTTTCTAATTGCTGGATGCGTCAGAACTTGTCTTTCTTTACAAGTACTGTATGATACCTAATCCCCTAAAACCCTACTTATATACTACAGTACTAAGTAGGGCTCGCGCTGCGGACTGTACGTTCGTACCGGGCCAGAGGTTTCAGGTTGTCAACTGTCCGACTGCACGGACTTCGCAGGGGCTCGGACGGTCGGTCGTAGACCTGTCCATTGACACTTTAATAAAATCTCTTTTTCTAATTCTTTAAAGGAATTCCTCATGAAATCCCACACCAACGGTGGGGGGGGAAGCCCCTTTTTCAGGTCTATAACCATGCATGGTCCGGATTAATTGTGAACCCAGATTCATATATGGTCAAATCAGATATAACATGGTCCACTTTACTTGTGAACCACTGGATTAACCTTGATTTCTAACATTGCTGACAAGTATTCAAGAATCTACGGCTCTACTTGCCCATTGAAATGGACACGATGCTTGGATATTATTGTCTGCAGCTCAGAAAAGAGCTGCTTCTCTTCCCAAAGACCATATCGAGGCGGCCACATGCGTTCTCGCCCTTTTGGAACTCTAAATGCGACTTCTCATAGGACTGTTTCCTCCAGGCCAAAACCAATAATAACCTGGTCCTGTATATTTCTGAACCCAGGTTAATATAGACCAAGGTTAATTGCTGTGATCAGGTGTACTGCAGAGCCACTGCATTCCTAATGTTTCAGCTAGGTACTTCCCAAAAACGATGCCCGCTCAAACGATACTGTATTTGGCGCATATTCCACATATCTGATATCAGCCCTGAATTGTTTCCATCTCTTTAATTGCAAGCCTGATTATCCATATCGATTTCCTTTTGTGGATTCCATGCGAACGGTGCAACACTGCCTCCCTTTTTGCAGACGGAGACAGTTTTATAACACCTCCCCTTGTCACGGATGCAATACTGTTTTCGACTGCTTCCTTACATTTGAAGACCGAACGCCTTAATGAACTGTTCATGCTTTGTCGGACGCAAGGCCTTAGTGAGGCCGTCAGCAGGCATCCTCTCTGATTCCATATATTGTACCTTCACAATACTTTCGACGATGTTCTGACGAACAAAGTGGTGCCGCACATCAATATGCTTAGAACGTCCATGAAACTTTGGGTTGCTGGCCAGCGCTATGCAACCCTGATTATCTTCCCAAATAACAGATGCGTCATTCTGCGGAAAGCGAAGCTCTTTAAGAAGGGGTCGAAGCCAAATGCACTCCTTAACTGCAGATAAAAGTGCCATATACTCGGCCTCCACCGTTGATAATGCAACTGTGGGCTGCTTTTTGGTTTTCCAACTCACTGTGGAACCGTTCACCTAAAACATGTAGCCGGTTGTTGAGCGTCTGTCGCTCTTATCCGGAGCCCAGTCCGTATCGCAGCACCCAAAGAGCCTAATTTCATTCCTCTCATGAGCTGAGCTAGTGCCACCAAGAACCAGAATAGTTTCCGTGGTCCCTCTCAAATACCGTAGCAATCGCTTGACTGCGGACCAATAGGAGTGGTCAGGGTTAGACATGAGACGGCTCAGGAAGCTTACTGCATGCGAAATGTCGCCTCTAGTCCCAAGCATCGCGTACATTACGGATCCCAAAAGTTGCTGATATCTCGCGGTCAGTGCAGCATCGAAGTTTCCATCGTTTTGTTTAGTGAGCGAGGTGCTTCGGGTCAGAGGTGTAGCCATTGGTTTACATTCAACCATCCCAAACTTTTCCAAATTGTGCTGCACATAGTGCGACTGCAAAATAGTAATTGTTCGTTCCTCTCTATTTCGACTGATATTCAATCCCAGACAGTGTCCGATTTCTCCCATGTCCTTCATCTCAAATTCTCGAGACAACTGGTTCTTAATCTGGGTTATCATATCGAGGTCCTGTGCCATTATAAGAAGGTCATCAACGTAGACCAAAATAAAAGCTCCGCAAGTACCATTGTTCATAACGAAAATCCCGTGGTTTGACTCCAATGACTTAAAACCGATAGTCACAAGGAAATCGGAGAGCTTTTCGTACCATGCGCGAGGGGCCTGTTTGAGTCCGTAAATTGCCTTTAACAATTTACATACCAACGCCGGGATGCTGCTTTCATAGCCTGCTGGTTGCTGCATATAAGCTTCCTCCTGCAATTTGCCATTGAGGAATGCCGTCTTCACATCCATCTGATAGATTTCCATATCGAGAATGGCGCCAATGGCTAGCAAACAGCGAAGTGATGTAAACTTGCAGACTGGCGCGAATGTTTCGAAGTAATCAATGCCCGCCTTCTGTGCGTAGCCCTTCGCCACAAGCCTGGCTTTGAATCTGTCAACCGTCCCATCCACGTTATACTTCATCTTGTGCAACCACCTACACCCAATAGCAGTCCGACCTGCAGGTAGTGGGGACAGCTCCCAAGTCTCATTTTCTCGGAGGGACCACATTTCTGCGTCCATCGCAGATTTCCAGTCATCCCGATTGCACCCAGACATTGCTTCTGGTAGTGAGAGGGGCTCGTTGATCTGAACAAAGTTTGCATGCCCGGAATTCTGCATCGGACCAAATCGGGTTGGTGCCGTGCGGTTTCGAATCGGATAACGCCTCTGCTCCTCAGTAGACTGAATGGTGGGCGGGATATGAGTCAACGAATCCAATACTTCGTCATCCGTCATATCTGCAGATGGTGCGACTGGCTGTTGCGATATATCATCATTCCACTCAACGATGGCCTCCCCTTCTGAGTTGCCTCCGATAGCCGGTTGGCTACTGTGGTGGCCCTCGTAAAAGTTTCCCTCGTCAAAAACAACGTCAATAGCCTCTGTAATCTGTTGTTTCTTCAACGAGAATAGGCGGTAAGCTTTTGAGGTTTGACTGTATCCCATCAGTAAACACTGTTGAGATCTTCGTCGCCACTTGTCACCAGAACTTCCCAGAACCTTGGAGTAGCATAAACTGCCAAAGATACGCAAATGATTTAGACGAGGCACCTGCCCGTAAGCCCTTTCGAACGGTATTTCATTGTGAACAGAAGAGCTGGGACAGCGGTTCCTAACGTATACCGCAGTGTTCACGGCCTCAGCCCAAATCGAGAAATTCAATTTGCTTGCGAGCAACATTGTACGTGCCATTTCCACAACGGTCCTGTTCATGCGCTCGGCTACACCGTTCTGCTGTGGGGTGTATGCAACACTCGTCTCATGGACAATACCGGCATCTTTGAGGAGAGCCTCGAAGGCATTGCCAGTGTACTCACCTCCATTGTCGGTCCGTAGTCTTTTGACACGATATCCGAACTGCGTTTCTGCCGTAGCCTTGAAGTTTCGGAAGCACTGAATGATCTCACTTTTTTGTTTCAAAAAGTAAACAACTGTATAGCGGGAAAAGTCGTCTATGAAAAGAGCGAAGTACCGGGCACCTTCTGTTGACGCCGTTCTCATTGGCCCGCAGACATCGCTGTGAACCAGTTCCAGATTCTCCGACGAAGTAGAACTGCTAGAAGGGAATGAAACTCGGTGTTGTTTCCCTTTAACACAAGGGGAGCACACAGGCTGAGAACTACCAACTTTCTGCAAAAATTCTCGAGCGTTGAGAATTTTCACAGATTCTGTGTTAACGTGTCCAAGTCGCTTGTGCCATAACTGTAGATCAGTGGTGTCCAATGCGACAAGAGCCTGGCCTTTGGGCGACGGAAGAATAGATGCGCTTAGCCTCCACAAGTTTCCGACTCTTTGAGACTCTGCAATGACACTTCCGTCCGTGTCGGCCATCTGACATCCGGCTTGGCTAAATCGAACACTGTAGCCCTTTGCGGAAAGTTGAACAACGTATAGAAGGTTGCAAGCTGGATCTGGAACGTACCATACGTTCTGGATGTGAATAGGCGTGTAGTGGTGTCCCTGCTTCACTATGACATGAACTGATCCGACGCCTTTGCTCTTGACAACCCTGTTGTCACCAAGCAAAACATCCCTCGGGTCACCGTAGTCGATTGCTTTAAACACTGAGATGTCGTTGCAGAGATGATTGGAAGCCCCAGAGTCAACAATCCAGTCTGTACCGCAATCTCCAAAGCCTAGACTCTTCTGACCTCGTGCTCCACTTTCCTTTTCAGCCACGACCAATAAACGGGCTACTGTGCCGTAACCATGATCACCACAGTCACTGCTTTACCAAGACTGCGTGTTCTGAGAAAGATTTCCTCGTTTCTTATCAGACAGAAACTTCCTACAGTCTCTCTTCCAATGTCCAAGC